ACACACACACACACACACACACACACACACACACACACACACACACACACACACACACATGCATCCTGAATCCCAAGAGCCCCCTCCAGAACCCAGGGTCAGTGTCCATGGCCCAAACGAGGCCCCGCTGCAGTGATAGAGTTCTAGCTGCAGCCCCATCGGGCCTCTGCCTGCAAACACATGGGCCAAGCCATGGCTCCGTGTGTCACGCGAAGCAGCCCTGGCCGTCTCTCGTGGAGGTACCTGGGACACGGGCCAGGCCGGCCTGCAGCTGCACCCCAACATCCCTGGCCGTAGGATCCCGTCCCAGGGAGCCCAGGCCCAGGGCCACCACCCCTCACTAATGAGCCATCACTTTGGGGTGGGGGCGCCTGGGGGCTTTCCAGTGCTTGTCTGGGCAAAGAGGGTGAGTCAGAAGCTTTACCAAAAACCTTGCCCCTGTGCCCCACCCTGGCTCCCCAAGATTGGTGTCTTCCCTAGGATGGGACCCAGGGCCTGGCACTGAGCTGTGGCCCCAGTCTGTCTGTCTGTCCATTTGTTTGTTTTGGAGACAGCATCTTGCTAAACTGCTATGTTGCCCAGCTGGTCTTCAACTTGCGACCCTCCTGCCTCTGCCTCCCAGCGAGCAGGAAGGACAGGGTGCCCCACCTCACCTAGCCCTCCTTTCTGCTCGAGCCCCCTACAGTGCATTTGTGCCTGTCTTGCAGGCAGCGGCGCTCGTGCATGTCTACACAGACGGGTCTGTGCTGGTCACCCATGGCGGGAACGAGCTGGGGCAGGGGATCCACACCAAGATGCTTCAGGTACAGGGGACTCCATCGTGGGGTCCTCCTGCCTCAGCCTCCCAGAGTGCTGAGACCCATCTTTTAGGGCAAATGAGGACCCTCAGTATTCAGACTCTAAGGCCCTTCCATGTAAAACATGGCAGCTGAGGTTCCAGACCGGGCCCCAGGACGGAGGGCCCAACAGAGTTGTGAGCTCTCAGCTGCTCCGTTCCGAGCCCAGCAGGTCTGACTACAGAAGGGCAGGTGTTTCCCGGCCCCCCCATCTGGGGAGCTGCAGAGGACATTTTAGTTCAGGCATGAGGCAGGGCAGGCAGAGAAGCCCTTCACCTCATGCAGAGGTGTCGGGTGGTGACCGCCTGCGTCCATTGGCCGAGGCCTCCTCTGCTCCAGGCCTCCACCTCACCCGAGGGGCCAGGCCCAGACCCGCCCATCCCCAACCCTGCCAGGACCTCCGCTGTCAGTGTCCCCGCCTGAGCACGGCTGTGGGCCTGGGAGAGGGGCGAGCTGTCCCTGCAGCTTCTCGGGGTCCGTGACGTCGGCTCAGGTCAAGGCAAATCTGCCATGGACAGACCCTGGCCCCCGTGGTAAAGAACGTGGTGGCTGAGGGAGGACCCTCCACACCTGACCCAGACCCCTCCGTTCTGTGAGCCAATCCATGCTCTGGGTTTTCCTCTCTAAGAAACAAGGATGTTGTCCCACCCCTTTTAATTTTGCATGTGTCTGGGCAAGGTTAATGTTAAACATATTAGAACACTGGCATCCAAGGACAGGAACTGGAACACACCTCCCAACACCTGGAGAAGGGCTTTGTGCAAAAACTAAAAGATGACAACAGTCAGGTTAACACTTTTTTCTTTCTTGCCCTCTTTCCCATTCTTTTCTTTCATTTCTTTTCAGTTAAATATTTTAATTTCCATATGTATCCCAGAGAAACTGGAAGAATACCTGGGCATGGTGGTGCATGCCTATGATCCCAGCTACTAGGGAGGCTGAGGCAGGAGGACTGCAAGTTCAAGGGTAATCTGAAAAAGAAAAGGGGGTTAACCTGGGCGACTTAGTGAAACCATATCTCAAAATTTAGAAAGAAACAAAGAAAAACAGGAAGGAAGGAGGGAAGAGAAGGAAAGAAAGGCTAGGCAGGGAGAGAGTAAGTAAAAGAACAAGAGTAAGAAATTAAAAAGAGCCAGCCGTGGGGGCGCACGCCTAGAATCCCAGCACTCGGGAGGCTGAGGCAGGAGGATCACTGCAAGTTCCAGGCCAGTCTGGGCTGCATAGTGAGTTCCGAGCCAACCTGAACTATAGAATGAGACCCTGCCTCAAACGTAAAAAATGGAAAGTAAATTTAAAAGTGAACAGCACATACTGGAGGAATGTGCGTGACTGGGATCAAATAGAAGGAAACGAGGAGGAAACTACAGCTGAGGTGAGGTCATGACAGGAGACGGGGTCATTCCAAGTTCTCCTAGGTCTGAAACCATTTGCGGGGGTGGAGACAGGGTCTCCCTGTGTAGTGGAGACGGACCTGGACCTCACTGTGTAGCCCAGGATGATCTCGAACTCACAGCCATCCTCCTGCCTCAGCCTCCTGAGTGCTGGGATTATAGGTGAGCACCACCACGCCCGACTAGGTCAAACTCTTCAGCTGGCTGAGTAGTCCAATGAACCAGTCTCTCTCTCTCTCCCTCTCTCTCTCCCTCCCGCCCTGTCCCTCTGTCTGTCTGTCTGTCCCTCTATCTCTCTGTGTCTCTCTCTGTCTCACTGTCTATGTCTCTGTCTCTGTCTCTCTGTTTCTCTCTCTCGGTCTCTCTCTCTCTGTCTGTCTGTCTCTCCATCTCTCCGTCTGTCTCTGTCTCTCTGTCTCTCTCTGTCTCTGTCTCTCGGTTTCTCTCTCTCTCGGTCTCTCTCTCTCTCTGTCTCTCCATCTCTCCGTCTGTCTCTGTCTCTCTGTCTCCTCTGTCTCTCCGTCTCTCTCTGTTCCTGTCTGTCGGTCTCTCTCTCTCTGTCTCTCTCGCTGTCCCTCCCTCTCCGTCTGTCTCTGCTTCTTTCTCTTTGTCTCTGCCTCCATCTCTGTCGCTCTCTCTGTCTCTCTGCCTCTGCCTCTCTGTCTCTCTATCTGTCCATCTCTGCCTCCGTCTCTCTCCCTCTGAGTGAGCTCCTGAAGCCTCACTGGCCTGTCCTCTGTTATTGGTGAGCTGAGGACCTAACACCCTGACCACCTCAGGTCCCTTGCATGAGCTGGAGGACACTCCTCAGCCCAGCACGCGAGGTGTTTGGAAAGCACAGTACCCAAGGCTGTAAGGGCCACCATAGAAGTGACTTCTGACACTGCAGTTCTGTGACAGTGGCGACTCCACCCTCCCTGGCCCCGCGGGTGACCGCACTTCCCCCCTCAGGTGGCCAGCCGCGAGCTGCAGATCCCCATGTCCCGGCTACACATCCAGGAGACCTGCACGGCGACCGTGCCGAACACAGTGGCTACCGCAGCGTCCATCGGCGCTGACGTTAACGGCAGGGCTGTGCAGGTGACTGCTGTGTCCGTCTGTCCCGGTTCCCATCTGTCCCATGCCTCTTGGTTTCGGGCCCCAGTGGGCAGGAGGCGACCTGTGGGGAGGGGTCATGGGCAGGATGCTGAGAGCGGACAGATCCTGGGATCAGGGCTCCACCGGCCCCGGCCACAGAGGGGCCTGGCAGAGGCATCTCGTTCCTGGCTTGGAGCATGGAGGAGCCCGGAGGAGGCGGCCTGGGTACCTGCACTCCGGGCCCCCTGCAGGCCCCATCCCACGCGCGTCCACCTGCGCAGGGCGGGAGGCGGTGTTGCGGTGACAGTGCCAGCCTGTGGGCAAGCAGGGCTGGTGGAGACTCGCGGGAGGGAGGGCTGTGCATGCAGCCAGGGTTGCCTCCAGCGAGTCCTGCTGGGCACTCAGCGCCCCCCTACTCCTACTTTCCAAGCACTGCTTTTAAAGAACTCTAAAGCCCGGCGAGGTGATGCCGGCCTGTAATCCCCGGAGGCTGAGGTAGGAGGGCCGCCCAGAATTCCAAGAATCACAGCTTCACGGCCCTTTGGTGGGGGTCCGACTGCACCTGCCTGAGGTGACCTCCACATGTCCTTCAGGCTGCTCTGTGGGGCCTCTGTAAGGAGAATTCTTGGGTGAGGAGCCACTCCGCACGTGGGACACTGCCGGGTCTGACAGCAGACACTTTTCCGGCTCAGAACAAGTGTGTAAAGACTTGAATTCTCTCCATCCAGTGTAGAGCTGGATCAAGCCAGAAAGAGTTTCGGCCCGGTGTGCACGGAGCTGTTTCCAGCCTACGTGTTGATCCGTCGTCAGGGACCAAGATCTAGGACCTAACCCTGTGGGCCTAGGTTCCTGTTGAGAGAATTTCTTCATTTTCTCATTTCAAGCCCAAAGCCCTGGCCCTCAACACAGTAGTTCAATGGTGGGTGGACAGCAGACAGTATGGACAGAGGTGGTGAGTCATTGCTGAGGCTACAAAGCACAAGTCTGAATGAAAATAGGTGCTCATTCCAATTATTTTGGTGGCTGGAAATACAAAAGGAGGCATAGATCTAAGACGTGGAAAAAGGAAAAGAAGTCTAGGGCCTGGCGAAGAATCTGAGCATTCAGTAAACTCCTGTCCTCACAGGTGGTGGCCAGGGAGGACCCGCAGGAGTCACTGCCCTGAGGCGGGGCTGTGTGACCGCCCTCTCCCGGTCTGGCGGGAGCTGCGTGCCGGAGACGTGCGGGCCCAGTCCGGGAGCAGCAGCATTCTCTTGCATATTCTTCCATGTTCGTTTTTAATGTGGATTCTCTTTATTTCTTCAAGAATGCCTGTCAGACCCTTCTGAAACGCCTTGAGCCCATCATTAAGAAAAATCCGGAAGGCATCTGGGAAGACTGGGTGAGTATCCCCACCACTGTGAAGAAGGAAGCAGCCCCAACAGTTCCAGGAGGGCGTCGGGGTAGGGCACAGCCACCCCACAGAGAGATGGGCTCCTCAGGCCTCTCACAGGGAGACAGCGTGCTCCTGCCCTGCTGAGTGGACTCCTGCAAAAGGGCAGGATGGCCAGAGTTGAGAAGGCTACTCCAGGATGTATTCCAAGTAAGCAAGGAGAGATCACACAGGAGACAGCAGTCATAAGAGGGAGGGAAATGCATGAGCACACCCAGGAGACGTCACACCCTCTGGTTGAGTAGAAAAGAAGAAAAGACTGGATCTTCCTAAGCCACATGCAATGTCGATGCTCTGGATAGGGAAGGGGAAGACAAGAAAGCCTAGTGGCTATTGACACTCTCCCTGACTGATGAGCTTTGCCCCATCTCTGGTGTGCAGCAGGTTTCTGCTTTACACCTGTTCAATCCAGACTTGAAACTCATCAGAAGGGGACTATTGGCCGCCACCCGCCAGGGAGGGCACCGTCACGATGAGCAGTTGTGGTGGCAGAGCACAGCAGCATGATGGGATACTGATGTTGAGATGTGGGATGTGTTCGTCTGCACCGACCAAATGGTGTGTTTACTTCATTTTTACTGTGTTCATTCTGCAGATAGATGCAGCATTTGAACAAAGAATCAGCCTCTCGGCCACTGGATACTTCAGGTAAAAATTAAAGACCTTAGCCGGGTGTTGTGGTGGTACACACCTGTGATCCCAGCACTTTGGGAAGCTGAGGCAGGAGGGTCACAAGTTCAAGTCCCACCTGGGCAACTTAGTGAAACCTTGTCTCAAAGTAAAAAGTTTATAAAGCAGGCAGGAAGGTTGGGGATGTAGCCCGGCATCCCTGGGTTTGATCCCTATCCCTAGTACAGAAAAAAAATCTTGGCTTAGCTGAGAAAATATGCAGTAATTCAATTGCTCTGGGCCTAAGTTCTCTCTCTGTAAATAAGATTTTATTGTAAGACTGCTGAGATCTCTTCCAGGCCCAAACTTGTGTAGCTTCACATAGGCCTCTGAGTTATGTCTCAAAAAATATTAAGCAATAAAAATACTGATATATTTAGTTAAGAAACACTGACCCTAGTCATTTATTATTCTTTATTGTAAGAACTAGGAAGCATTATCATTAGAAATAACAGGCAACTCTAATTCGCAGGTCTCCCATGCGCTACTGCTAGACCTGTCTCTGGGGCAGGAGGGCAGTGTAACCACCGCAGGCTATGTCCACGTCAGGGCCAGCCTCAGCACACAAGTGTTAGTGGGGTAGGGCAGAGCTGACTGTCACGTTCCAGAAGTGGCCAGTGTTACTTTTACCCTGTGATGAAGCAAACCCTAAACTGCGCTTGCACAGGAGACTCAGGAATAGCAAAGCGAGCATCACCGAGCCAGGACAGGAGAAGGAACCCGACCACCCACTGCTGTGTGCAGCTCACAGTGAGCTCTGGGCCCTGCACTCGATTGCGCCTGGCTGAGCACATCTTCCGTCCCGGCCACAGTGAACCCGGCCCTGCCTCCCGGCCACAGTCACCTCCACCCGGGAATTCAGCCAGCCGGCCCACGGGGTCCCTCCAGAACCCTTGATCAAAATAGCTGAGTTTCCCGTGTCTGAATCAGATGGGGTAAAGCCCAAACTCCAGGCCATCGGCGTTGGCCAGCTGGGCCCACCCCTGCTGGCTTCTCCCTCAGACGCCCAACCTGGGACACAGAAAGCAAACTCTCAACTGGATGCAAGTGAAAACCAGCTGGGCTATAAATGAAAAGCAGCAGCTCAAAATGAGCCTAAAAGTCAGCTGAAAGCTGGGCCTGGGTTCACTCCTGTAATCCCAGGACATGGGAGGCTGAGGCAGGAGTATTGAAACAGGGAGCCCATGTTTCATGAACCTGGACTACGTCATAGGTTCAAGGCTGGCCTGGGCCACATAGCAGGATCCTGTCTCAAAATAATAATAATAATAATAATAATAGACATCATTTGCACACCGCCCCCATGTAAAGGGCTTTATTTCTCCCCTCAGGGGCTACAAGGCCTTCATGGACTGGGAGAAGGGGGAGGGAGACCCCTTTCCATACTACGTCTTCGGGGCTGCCTGCTCTGAGGTGGAGATCGACTGCCTGACGGGAGCGCACAGGGTGAGTCTCAGCTTCCTCAACAGGGAATCCTTGGTGGGCCCAGGTCAGCTGCACCTCCTGAGCCACCAAGAGCAGGTTGTCCCCACTCTCGGGCCCAGAGCCCGGCCCGGGAACTTCCAGGAAGACATGGAGGAGGCCACGGAGGAGCTGCCCAGACAGCCTGAACTCCTCCAGTACGTTGGCATTTTTATTCCATTCAGACAACAAAAACACTTTTCAGAGTTTTACCCAGAGCAGCATTTTATGCCCAAAGGAAAGCCAAGCTCCCTAACCGCAGGGCAGACGAGGTTTCTCCAGCCACTGGCCTGAGGAAACAGAGGAGAGGAGGGCCGGTGTTTGCCATGCCACACAGCTCCCGTGGAATGGGCCCCTGGGGCCAGGGAGTCACTGTTAACCATGGAAATGACTTGAACCGTGGCGGAAGAGGCCTCCCAGGGGCCTCTGGGGCAGGAAAGTTCCGGAAGTCTTACACAGAGCCTGGTGAAACCCAAGCACATGAGTTGTCAAGAAGTTTATGACACAACTGAAGCCGACTCACGTTACTCCACCACCACCCAGAGCCACTTGCCCAAAACAGCCATGGTCTATTTGTGAGGCATGGACGGACTTTGCCAACACTTAATCACATCAGATAACATCTCCACCCGCGAAATCCATGAAGGACGTTTGTAAGCACAGTGAAGGAGGCAGAGAGCCCACCTTCCTCCAGTTCCTCCTAGGAACACGGTGACGCTACATCTCCACTTCCGTGCAGATCAGGGTTAAGCAGCAGACTCGTGTGAGCACAGATTGCTGGTGATTACTTCGAATCCACGCTTCCCGGTGCTTTTCTCGTGGAAGCGCACAGGTCCAGCCGGGGTTCCTGCTCGGGCCCCGACCCCTCAGGCCCGCAGCAGGGGAAACCCTCATCTTTAGGGGCAGGCTCATCCCAGGGCCTGGTGCCAGATTTAGCAAACAAATCACAAGCCACCCTCAGGTAAACAACAAATAATTTTCTGGTATAAACGAGCCCCGTGCAGCATTTGGAGCAGGAGTATTTCATATGTCACTTACTCCTGGGGGCCTCAGATAAATAAATACCTACAAAATAAAGCTGCATGAGGCCCTCACAGGTGCCATGGTGCCCCAGAAGGTAAGACTTGGTCCTCCTGGGCCTCCCAATTCACTCAGTTAAAGTTTGGTCATTTCGGAATTTCTTTGATCCCTTGAAATAACTTCTTCTTTGAAGAGTCAAAACTCCCTGGTGGCCATGCTGTGGCTGAGTGGGGAGCACAGTGCACACGCTGCCCCTCGAGTCCAGAGGCCAGCGCGGAGCAGAAGAAGCCGTCCACCTCGGAAGGCTGGCTAGAGTAGGCACTGATGTATTAGGAGGCCGAGCCCCAGGCACGGGCAGAAGGCGGCATGGAGACTCCGAGACACACACGGCCTCTCACCCCACAAGCACACACCCGTGTGCACACACCCACGCCTAGCATGGGGCCACACCAGTGACAGCTGAGATCTCGCACACCCCAGCTCTGCCCACTGCACTGGCCACAGTGAGGTGTCCTTGGGAATGTGGGGCCACACTGCGGCCACCAGGGCCCCATGCCCGGGGTCCCAGGCCCGATGTTGCTGCATCATATGCTCCTACAGCCCTCGCGGGCCCAGGGTCCCCAAGAGTCAGGCCACAACCACGCCAGCCCCGGGCTTTCTGCTGGCCGGGCTCTGGGCAGGGGCAGGGCCTGAGGGGCTCTGGGAGGAGGAGGAGGCCGCGGCATCTCCATGTTCACGGGGTCCTGCCTGTGTTTCGGCAGAAGCTCAGGACAGACATCGTCATGGACGCCGGCTGCAGCCTGAACCCAGCCATCGATGTGGGTCAGGTGGGTGCGGGGCTCAGCCGGCCATGCTGAGGGCTGCAGGGAGGACAGGGCCACCTCAGCAGCTTGGGCTCCCCCAGGTGGAAGGTGCCTTCCTCCAGGGCGCTGGCCTCTACACCTCGGAGGAGCTGCACTACTCGCCAGGGGGCGCCCTGCTGTCCCGCGGGCCCAATGAGTACAAGATCCCCACCGTGGCCGACATCCCCGAGGAGTTCAACGTGACTTTGCTGCCGTCATCACCGTCACAGACCCAGCTCACCATCTACTCGTCCAAGGTGAGTGCTCACCTGCACAGCACAGCACAGCCTGAGAAAATAACAAGGAGATGCTAACTGCTGCACAAGCCACAGCGTGCAGCGGGCTCTTCAGAAGCAGCAGCTTCAGAAAAACAAGGGCACTGGAGGGAGCAAGCCCTCCACCAAACCCTCTTTCACTGGGAACTAAATCTTCAGAAAGCTTTGCCTTCCAGAGAATAACGTTCTCACCCAAGAACCTCAGTTTTCTGACAGGCACACACTTGGGGAGGCTGAGGCAGGAGGAGCACTGTGAGTCTGAGGCCAGCCTGGGCTACACAGTGAGTTCAAGGCCAGCCTGGACTGCAGAGTGAGACCCTGTCTCAAAAAACCAAACCAAAAACAGCTCAGGGTTCCGTGGGATGGGAGGTGTGCTACCGGCTGCTCAGCCAGCAGGGGGCAGCAATGCGGAAGAAGTCTAGGCTGTGCCCATCTCATCCGGACCCTAGGTCAGAGGTGCAGCGGGGACTGTTTGTCATCACTGAAAGCTCTAAAAGTTCTCCATCGCTGCCCAGGTGAACCCCTCACTCGAGGGACACAGCTGGGGTGGCGGTGGCAGTCACCTGGGGGTGGGGGACTCCTCCTGGCGGAGCCCAGCCTTCCCCAGCGAGGGACCCAGTCAGGCCCAAGGACTAAAACTGAAATCTAAAATAAAGGTTGCAGCTGTTTGCACTGCTGTGTGCAGATTGCGTGAAGATGCCAGAGTTAAAATTTAAATGAGATACCGAGTTTTCCCGAAAACCCTCTGGGAGGCTTCTTGCTAGGAGAGGTGGCCTGGGCACATATGGGGGTCTCGGGTCTGCGTGAGGCTCAGGGTCTCCAGCTTGGCGGGCACACGGGCCCTGGCTTCCTCCCAGAACTGCAGGAGAGAACGGTGTCACTCTGAAGGAGCCTCCTGTCATGTGGCGCTCACCAACCCAGCCCCATCCCTGGCCCAAGAGACGGTCAGGGCGGTGGGCCTGCAACTGGAGACGGACAATGGGCTTGCAGCCCTGGGTGGGGGCAGCAGGTACAGCAGGCGCTGCCCAGGCCCTGCTCCCCACCCTAAGGTGTCCCCACACCCGGACTGACCCCACCTGCCTGGCACCCAGGGACCCACAGGGTCTCCGCTCAGGTGTGGTGAGGCAATGCCGCGGCCCACCGCCCACCGTCTTGTCCTTGTAATGTTAAAGTGAAGAGAAATACCTTAAGTCTCTGGGGCGACTGGATGACCTGTAATTTTGACTTTGTTCCCGGAAGGCAGTGGTCTGCTGCAACTGGAAAATGGCCCCCTCTTCAGCAGGGACACGGAGGAAGGCGGCGCCACCTCCCTCCCTCCTCTCTCCAGGTCCCTGCGGCTCCACCACCAGTAACCTGCAGGAGTGACTTGCTCCTTGCAGCTGAGCCGCCTGCAAACCTTCCTAAGAGAAGACTCTGCCTTGTGGCCCAGAGTCACACGGCCCTCTATGCCCCGGCTTCACTGCTGAGAGTTCTGCACTACATGAGCACCCGCCCTCACCACACACACGCGGGCACGCGGGCACACACACACACACACACACACACACACGTAGCCTTCCTGTACAACAGATGAGAGACATAACCCAGCCAGGATTTCATCCCTGAGAACCTCAGGTGACACTAGAACTATAACAGCCCTTGGGCTGGATGGCAGTCGGTCAACAAACACGTGTGCAAGACCGCAGCACTGAGGGGACACTGGGGATTGGGGCCTGGCCATCAGGGTCAACTCTCCTGAAACCACTGTGCCTCCCACAGGGCCTCGGGGAGTCCGGGATGTTCCTCGGGTCGTCTGTGTTCTTTGCCATCGGCGACGCGGTAGCTGCAGTGCGCAGGGACAGGGACCTTGCTGAGGACTTCACGGTGAGGAGCCCAGCCACGCCGGAATGGGTGCGCATGGCCTGCGTGGATCGCTTCACCGAGATGGTAAGGAGTCGCTTTGCTCTCCCTACAGGGAGATTGCCCTACTTCTGGTCTTTGGACCCTGGGTAATGCCTGACCCGATCTAATGCATCCGCCCATGTGCAGCAGCTCTAACTTTCAAACAGCATTTCCCTGTGTGTCACTCAGGTTGCCACTCAGTAAACTGGGGCAGGGTCATCTGTCCCCTTCCGAGTCTGAGAGCCATGGGGACCCTAGGGCTGTCATCCCAGTGCCCAGGAGGCCGAGGCTGGAGGGTCGCAGATCAAGGGCAACCTCGGCAATGGAGTGAGACCCTGTCTGTTCGACAGGTCAGAAAGGGCTGGGGCATGAGTTTCAGCACTGGCCAGAGGGCTGGGCCCCGCGGGAGCCGGGACACACCCTGGCCTGCCTCTCCCGCATGCTCAGCACCAGCCCCTCACACACCCTGTCCATTTCACCCCCGACCACCCTTGAGCTCCCACCCCAAGCCACTTTTCACCCCACAGAGACCTGCGGTGTCTCCTGTGTCAGAGCAGACCCCTAACCGACACAGCTGGGTGGCAGCGTTGACCGCGTCCCTCCCGCGCGCGCACACACACACACACACACACACACGCACACACACACACGCACATAGGCACAGCACGCAGTTTCAGGCGGTGTGGAACACTGAGACAGATGGAGGTGCAGGGCTGCCATGTGACCACAAGGGCCCGGGGATATGAGTGTGCAGAACTGGACCCAGAAAGGACAGGGCAGGGATGCCGCAGCTTCTCAGGAAATCAGACAGCCTCTGGGGCTTGGTTTTGCCTTTGTGATGGCAAAGCTTGTAGCTGAGCAGCTGTACCTGCTGCTCTTCCTGGAGGACAGAGATGGAACGGGACTGATCACTGTGCCCAGCCACCACCCACTGCTGCCTGCCACCTCCTGGGGTCTCTCCAAAGCACCCGAAAACTACTCTGAGCCCGCACAGACTGGACACTTTGAATGCATTTGATCGAACTGCATCAGGGTTTTAAACTGAACATGATTGGGGCTGAAGTGCAGCGCTGTGTTAGGTGGCTTGCCTGGCATATCAAGGCCCAGGGTTCATTCCAGCACGGCAAAAAGGAAAAAGAAATATCCAACTAACACAGGCATTGCACTCTGTTCAAAAAGTTTCTTTAGGAACTTAGATACCCACACCCTTTGTACGTCTTGGCCTTTGAGTGCTATTGCCAAGACACGATTTGTCCTGAGGAGAAGAAGGTCAGGAATTTGCATGTGAGAACAGGCCCTGGAAAGCACAAATGCCCTCTGTCAATAACCTTCTCCTTGCTGTAAGCCCTTCTGGATCTATGTCCTACACTCAGTACTTTTCCCTTGGAACCAGAGTCACACCGGAGCATCCCACGTCAACACGAGTCACTCTGTAAATACCAAGCCAAAGTCCTCACCGTGCTCCACCCCTGACCCTGACCTCCCTCCACTCTGCCTCACCAGGACTGGCAGGAGTTTCCACACCACATCAAGTTGACCTGCTAAGGCCAGGACAAAGACAGCTTTTATAACTAGAAGCCTCATTTTCATGGGTAAATTGGCTTCAACAAAAAGCAGGCATTGGTAGGAAGCATTGGGCATTTTCATGACTTAAAAAATCCGTTTGAACAGGCACTTCTACATCCAAACTTATTGCACACATTGGGTGGGGCTGACCTGTTGCGGATGACTCACCTGGTTTCCGGGGAGACCTGGCATGTGTTGCTGATGTCTGCTCTGAGCTCGGTGGGAACCCAGCTCCCAGATGGGCCATGGGCTCCATCCTCCATGAGGATGGCAGAGGAAACTGCTGTCCTCAGAAAATGTGTTTTGCACCATCATTTAAAATTCCACAAGAAACAAGTAAATTTCCCTTGAAGACACAAAAAGACAGACAAATAACACTTGCAAGTCAAGACTTCTCCTTACAGCAGTAATTTCAGTTTTAAAAAATATTTAAGATTCAGAGGCATGAAGGATTTCACAGCCTTAAAACTTGGGAAAATGCTGCCTGGGAGATTTCGGTGAGAGATCAGATGGAAACAAAGACTTCTGCCTTGTTGTCTTCGGTGGCCAAAAAGCCCTGACTGATACAGATCCAGGCAGGTGTGTGCTTGGTGACCAGCCGGGGGGTGGGGTCTGCTGGCACTGCTGGACACCGGGCACTGCTGCTCACGTCCTGTGCTGGGCAGCTGGTCCCTGCCGCGCTGGCCCTTCCGCTGGCAGGCCGACTGTCCCTGCCCACTAGAGTCTCTCCCGGGCCCAGCCTTGCCTCCTGGGCCCTGGGGCACCAGCTCCCTGCCTCCATTTCTACCTGCTCCTCAGTCCTGGGGGCACAGCCTTGCAGCTGTAGCCAGGACAAGGCCAGCTCCTCAGCAGAGGCAGGAGGCCCAGCCCACCCACCCTGGTCTCAGCTGGGCACCCAGTGGAAGGCCTCCCTTATCCCTCAGCCTCAGAGTCCATCCTGCAGCACCTCACGGTCCCCTGAGGGTCCTCTACCCACGTGCACACGAGTACACGCGCGCACATGCTCAGCTCAGACCTGAGCACAACAGGGCAGGGCCTGCGACACAGGCCTCTGAGGTGGGCAGCAGAGCACGTGTGCCTCACACAGCCCCGCAGGGTCTCGGGGCTGCCTCTACTCTCCTGGAGACATATGAGCGCACACACGTGCTCTCAGACAATGTGTGCCTTGCCGCCCTCCCTGGCACCCAGGCGGGAGGAAGGGAACCAGGCCCTTGTGCGCAGGCCCACCCCGCCCAGGGTGCCCCGTGCTGCGCTCTGTCTGTCTTGGCCTGGGTCGGTGAGCCCAGCCCTCCTGCCGGCCCAGGGTTGGTGGAAGAGAACGGGAACTGGCCAGGCCTCCTGAGGGAAGGGCAGAAGAGGATGTGGAAGGTGACAGGGAGGTGCTGAGTGCAGGGAGCACCTGATGAGCCACTCACAGGTGGAGGCGAGTGAGATGCGTGCGAGCTCACAGCTATCGTGCGTGGTCCCGTGGTCCGTGTTGACCGTGACGACGGTGATGTGGTGATGGGGTTGGGGGCCCCAGGGCCACCCTCAGACTCAGGAGCCGGAGAAGCAGAGGCAGCGTCATGACGCGTTTCAGTGAAAGCAGGGGAGAAAGGCAGAGGCCAGTGACCTCTTCTGGGGACTCAAGGTGACCATGACAAGCTTCGATGGCCGTGAGTCCTGGGCTTTGCTGGAGGTCAGTTACACGGTGGCCCTCAGAGGTCCAGCTGTCACCAAGCACCAAGGCCCCAGTTAACAGAGCCCCCATGGGCTGGGCGCCTCCCAGGAGCTGCAGGCCTCTGGCACACACGGGTTTGGAGACCTTCCCCACTACCCTTCACCACGATGACAGGGTGAGGAGGCAGAAGCCATGCCATGGTATCCAGCCGTGACACCGGGCTATCAGACCCGGATGTGGGGCTCAGGGACTACTGCAGTGTAAGTTCAGCTTTAGCTGAGAGTAGAGGCGCATGCCTGTCATCTCAGCAGTCAAGAGGCTGAGGCAGAAGAATTGCAAGTTCAAGCCCAGCCTGGTCAACTTAGCAACATAACAACATCCTTCTCAAAATTTAAAACAATAAAATTAAAAGAGTTGGCAGGGGGGAGATTTAGCTCAATAGCACAGCACCTGCCCACCAAGTGGGAGGTCCTGAGTTGGATCTCCAGTACCAAAAACGTCAGCAAAGTAGCCCAGTGCAAATGCCCTGGTTCAATCCCCAGTCACGCAGAAGGAGGAGGAAGAGGAGCAGCAGCAAGGAGGAAGCTTGGATGAGAGCAGAACTGGTCTCGGCATCCACAGGGGAGGTGTTGCAGTAACCACTGCTGTCAAAGGCCAGGGCACAGAGAGGAGAGGAGCAAGGAGGAGCGAAGAGATCAGGGCAGCAGGCATGGACTGCTGGGACCCAGGGAGAGAGCTGTGTCCGGGGCCAAACGCAGGCACAGGGGTCGCAGCCCGCCCTGCCCTGCACAGGGAGCCCAGCTGACTCTGGTGGGCAGGTGGCCCGGAGAGGTGTCCAGCTGAGGCAGGGCGGCCGGCCCCAAGGACGGCTGGCAGACACCAGCGCAGGGTGGACACGGCCCAGGGTGGTGTCTCCGAGAGGTTTTCGTTTCGCTTGTTGTGCTAAGGGTGAAACCAGGGCCTGTGAGGTCGCCCTGCTTTTGTATTTTGTGAGATAAATGTGTAGAAAAACTGCTCTTTGGCCCCTTCGCAGTTCTCCCTCCCTGGGGAAGCGGGTGCAGTTCAGGGGCAGAGCACGCGCTCAGCATATGTCGGCCACAAGAGCAGCAGAGGTCAGCTCTTCAAAACGCCACCGAGGGAGGCCAGGAGGTGTGTGCTCTGCTGTGAGGCACACCTCGGGGAGAGGCTTCCTGGAGACAGCTCTCTGGACCACAGGGACAGGAGGGAGGAGCAGATCCTCATGCTGTCTCTGAGGGCAGTGGGGACACCGCAGGGCATTTGGCACCACAGCCAGGCAGTGAGCACCACACTGGGGCATAGCGGCCATGTGGGCGATGCCTTCGACCCACATATATTCCTACGATTTTTAACTCTTTCGATTCATCCCAAGAAGCAGAGGACAAGCTGGGTGTGGTGGCGCACACCTATAATCCCAGCAGTCAGGAGACTGAGGCAGGAGGATCGCTGTGAGTTCAAGACCAGCCTGGGCTACACAGTGAGTTCCAGGTCAGTCTCACTACATAGTGAGTGAGACCCTGTCTCAAAAAACAAAAAAAAAACAAGAAGAAGAAGAAGCAGAGGACAGACAGCCAAGCAAGCCACTGCAGACTGAGGGCCTGGTGTCACAGCACCACTGTCCCCTAAGATTGTCATCTGAAAGGCAGCTCAGAGGCACAGCGCCTGCCTGCCACATGTGAGGCCCTGAGTTTGATTCCTGGCACAAAAGGAAGAAAGGGAGGAAGGGAGGGAGGGAGGGGAAGGAGGGAGGGAAAGAGTTCAAATCCCTGGGAACCAGCACAACCCTGCTTCCTCTCATCAGAATTTTTACAAATCTAGGATCAGCTACACCGCCTCCGGGGGAGCGCAGCAGCCGCGTCCCTCCACGTGTGCTGAGTGCTTCCTGTGCTTTGCTTCCAGATCCCGAGGGACGACCCTGGGACGTTCAAGCCTTGGTCTGTCCCTATCGCATAACCCTCCACCGTCTCCTGAGAGGTGAGCTCCCCATAAGGTACGTGACAATCACACTAGGGGAGACAATGACAGCAACCCCGTCCCAAAGAAAACAGGCAGCCAGCTCCACGGTCCCCACGCTCTGCTCCCCATTGTGCCAACTGCACAGCCTCTCATGCGGCCTCCTGAATCCTCCAACACGAAGTATGCAGGGCTTTGCTGATGACAGTCAGGGTTGGGGTGCTGTGTCGCCAAATAACGCGAGGCTGAGCCAGGTGTGGTGGCGCACCCCCGTGTATTTCTGTAAAATAGGAATTTAACAACACATGTGTAAGGAGCGTAAGGCAGATTACCCTGCCTCTTTTACTCTCTTTCCCAATTTTTTTCTTAAATTTTTTGAGACAGGGTCTCACTATGTAGTTGAGACTGACCTGGAACTCACTATGTAGCCCAGGTTGGTCTCAAACTCACAGCGATCCTCCTGCCTCAGCCTCCCGACTGCTGGAATTACAGGCGTGCACCACCATGCCCGGTTCTCTTTCCCAATATTAAAGTCAGTGTGATGAGACAACACACACTACCATGCAAAGCAGGTGTGCAAAGTAAGAGCCTGTGCTGCACACGAACCTCAATAAAAGGTAGTTACAGGTGAACACATGCCTGCTAAACACCAAATTTTCATAAATAGGCAGCCTTGCTGGTGCACAACTATTAATCCCACCATTCAGGAAGCAGACGCAGGAAGGTCGCCGTGAGTTGGAGGCCAGCCTGGGCTACCCAGTGAGTTCAAGGCCAGCCTGAACTATATAGCGAGACCCTATCTCAAAAGAAAAGAAAACAGTTAATAAATTATAGACCCCCACAAATGAGCTGGGAAGTCATTTCTGTGCAAACACTAAAAATAAGGCCCATCCTCACTTTGCAAGATGAATTTTAAAAATGAAAAACAAAACTAAACCTCTTAAAATTTACAATCATTTCTTGTGGCAGAATTTTTTTCAGGCTGTGTTACAACAGATTTCCTGAGTGTCATTCCAAGTATGTAACTATCATCTCTTACCTGCAGTTTCAAATTTTCATGCTCCACAGTAGCATAATCGCTCATATATTTGCTTTATAAGCAAGCATTAAATATTGAGCTTATAAAAATAGGTTTCAGTCCTCTGCTAAACATCTTTAAAATCTTCTGACCTCCTCCAGTTTCCTATTTTATAAGTGAAGACAGGCCAAGAGCAAATCAGCAACTCCCCAAATGTTCCCGTGGCTTTACCAGTCCAACTTCCGGCTGATTCTTCTTCCCAACCTAGGGCTTGGTACACTTTGTTGTTTAGCTGTTCTCTTTTCTGTTTTTTCCAGGTGAAAAGATGGCTTCTTAATCATAACTGCAAGCTGATATTCTTATACTGTTGTGGGGGGAGCAGGTGCAAAATTTAGAACATGATTCAAGCCTAATTACATTAACAAAATGAATCATTATTTACAAATTACTCAGACTCTTCAGCCCAGAGGCCAGAGAGGACACCAGTAAATTTAATGATTTATTTCTGAAAAGATCGTGGAAAAACTGCTGTGAAGGCAAACCCTTCCTGTGCCCAGCGATCAGCAGACCCTCCCGCAGCTGTAATCGCTGGTGAGGACGGCACCCAACAGCACATGGTGTCCCCCGTGATGCCCCCTGTGCAGCACAGAGCAGCGACACCGCGGCCCTCTGCCAGGCGCTGCCCTGGGCCTGGTGGGCGTCTGACGGCGCAGGAACAGGGCTTCCCTGCACAATGAGCCGCAGGGAGCCGCAGGGAGCCGCAGGGAGCCGCAGGCCGAACTGGTGCCGGGTTCAATGGCCTCGCCATGTGAAGCCCTGAGTTCAGTCCCCAGCATCACAGAAATAAAAATACAAGCGTTAAAAGAGAAACATGCAGACCCATGGAATTGCACTGGGTTCCAGGGACTCTCAGGAAGAATCAGCAGATAAGCTCTGAGCAGAGTCCTGAAGAAGACGGCAGAATCCACAGATCAGGGCGTCTACCTGGCAGACCTGACAGGGACACACAGTGGGGGCAGGGACAGCTTGCCACTGGCCACCTGCCCACCTGTGGGTTCTGCCAGGTCCAGGAGCCCAAGGGAGGGAGCAGGCCAGAGAGGAAAGGAGTGGCAGCAGGGGATCACTGGCAGGACAACAATTACACATTGGTGGCACAGCAGGGACTGCATGGGAGGCGGCTGGGGTGAAATAAACTGAAACTAAAGCAATTTCAAAAGCTCTTTTGCAAATAAATCCCTGATTGTGTGATCTAATAAAATGCGAGACATTTGTTTTATCATTTTAAATGATAGTAAATGTGGTTTGTATTTTTAAGCCGGGTGTGGTGGGGCAGCCTATAATCCCAGCCCTCAGGAGGCCAAGGCTAGAGGATCGCTTTGAGTTCAAGGCCAGCCTGGATTACATAGTGAGACCTTGTCTCAAATAAGCAAAAATAGGGCGGGAGATTTTTCTCAGTGGTACTGTGCCTACATCCCAAGCGCAGCATTCTGAGTTTGATCCCTGGAACAACAACAAAAAAAAGGAAAGCAAGCTTTTGATGCATCTAGGCGAGCTGGCTACTGCGTGTCTATATTCTTTGCCGTGGGTCAGGACCGACAAATCAGAGGCGTCTGAATACAAACCACGCTGTGGGTTGTGCTCTGCAATCTGGACAGCAAGGACACTAATAAAATACTTCTTCAGAAAGACACACTTGAAGCCACATGTTAGAAACCATTTCTGTGGGCTCACCAGCATTGTGAAAAGATGAAGTTTGCTAGATTCGCTAAAAATATTGACCCTGTTCAAAAGTACTTCACAAAAAAACCCAAAATGACCCCAGAGCTATGGCCTCAGTGTGCCCAGCCCCAGACTTGCACTGAAACCTGGCAGGGCATGGTGGGGGACTTGGGGGGCGGCTCTGCCCAGGACGACCCAGAGCCAGTGGGTCCCACCAGCGTGGGGCACCACAGTCCCTGAGAAGGAGCCTCACCAGGCAGCATGCTGACCCCCAGCCCCGGGGTCTCCAGCCCCCAGGCAGGCCAAACTCCTGCCACTTCAGACCCTACTCGTGGTGTTCGCCGTCCCCGCCGCCCTTGGGAGTCCCGACACCTCACGCTTGTCACGGTCACAGCTGGCCTCACTGCCCAGCGAGTGTGGGGACACGGTGGCAAATGTCAGAGTGCCAGGGGAAGCTGGCTGTGTCTCCCGGCTGCCCTTCCTCCCTCCACACAGGCCGCTGCGCGTCTGCTCCCTGACAGCAGGAGCTGCTTCCGCTCACAGGAGCCCTGAGAGCCAGGAAGGCAAAGGCGGACGCGGGCTTCCCGCTGCCCGGGATCCGAACCTGCTGCGCTGCTCTCCTATGCTCATCAAGACAAAGCGATCCCAGCGCTCGGAGGCTGAGGAGCGCGTGTGTTTGAGGCCGGCCCGGGCTGCACACCAGACCCCGGCTGCCCTCCACGCGTGTGCACGCGCGCGCACACTCACTTCCTGTCCCCCAGCCTCGCCCGGCCGGTGGGTGTCAGATGTACGCACAGAACGGTCCTCACAGACAGAACCGCGCTGGGAAGGGCGACTCCGGGCCGGACGCAGGGGGAAGGCACGGCCAGCTTCGGCCGAGGGCGCCAGAGGTGCAGGATCACTGTCGGCGCCGCTGGGACAGTTACTCTCCACGCGGTACGAATCGCGAGGACCCCGCGGGCTCCTGGAGGCGCAGGCACAGAAGGCCACACAGCAGTGACACACGAGGGGGACCTCGCGGGCCCAGGTCCCGCTCCGCTGGGTGCACGAGGGCGCCGGCTCCCCCAGCTGTCAGGAAGCTTCGGAGATGGCACCGGGCCACGGGCACAGGTTCGCCCGCTCAGTTTGGGCCCTGTGCTCACTCCGTGGGCTGGAGCGCTGGGCTGTGAGGGCCGCCCACAGAAGGCCACACAGCAGTGACACACGAGGGGGACCTCGCGGGCCCAGGTCCCGCTCCGCTGGGTGCACGAGGGCGCCGGCTCCCCCAGCTGTCAGGAAGCTTCGGAGATGGCACCGGGCCACGGGCACAGGTTCGCCCGCTCAGTTTGGGCCCTGTGCTCACTCCGTGGGCTGGAGCGCTGGGCTGTGAGGGCCGCCCAGGTGGGAGAGGAGGGAAAGGGGAGCTGGCCGTGCCCTCCCGTGGTTCACCCTACAGCCTCCCTCACCCCCACCGGCTGGAGACCCCAGAACCACTCTGGTCGCTCGGGGTCCTCCTCACACCCACAGTCTGTGACCGAGGGCTGGGGTTTCTGCGATGTGCCACCACGCCCACCTCCCCTGACTCCTTTAGTCTACATGGGCTTCAGAAGCTGCTCTGCTGCTGGTGCCCGCCTTGACTACACATGGCCCGGAAGCTCACTGCCGACCTACAGCAAGGAGGGAACCGGCAGCGCCCGCAGCTCCGCTGCACCTGGGAAGAGCCTGCACACGTCTGCAGATAGGAACTGAGCGACACCACGCAGGTAAGAGAATGAGCTTCGTGGTCAACACGTTCAGACACAGTGTACTGACCAAATGCAACTAGTAGATAATTAGATCACAGGGAGAGTCTGTAAAAACCTACTGTAATAGCCCGGTGTAAATAACATTAAATGCCTCCCTCTCTCCCCCC